TTCAGTGATCAAAACATTTGATATACCATATTCTGTTAAAGTGTTTGTTGATGTCTTCTCTAATTCCTCGATGATGGGAATACCCCAGACACTCACTATTGATCTCTACAAGTGGAAGGATCGCTCAAATAAATAACTTCGCTTTTCATTCTTGATGATACTTATTTTATTATGTTGTTTAGATCACTTATTAGCTTATGTAGATTTTATCTTTTCCTTGGTTTTGTTATTTTGCTTTGTAGTCATGGTTAATATGTAGATATTACTCTTTCAATAATTTTAAGAAAATATTTTAAACAAAGCCAAAAGCATCTCCAGCATCTGAAAGTTGTGGGTGCATATAAGTGTAGGCTACTCTGGGTGCACTTGTTGATTATTATTATTGACAAATAATTATTCAGAGTGGGTGCATCCTGGTAAATTATGGGTACCAATGAATTCAAATCAGTGCACTCCCCCTAACGGCATGAGCAAAGCTAAACATCTGTAGATCTACTACTCTGCATGGTTTGAATGTCATTGTGCACTACAAATTTGAAATTAATTTTGAAGAAGAAAGCCACTTGGTACTCGGATGTATTACAGAAATTACTTATTAGTTTGTACTTGTATGTTTATTAGTAGAGGCGTGTTAGCTAGTGTACTTGTTAATGAAGTTGTGTTATTAATTAGATCTAGGCCGTATTTTTTGCTTATCTTTGTAACTTGCTCTTAAAGTTAGCCTCACAGTTACCGTATGGCTATGCAGCTGATCTAGAGCAAGCCTTATTTTTGTTTATTGTTTGATACGATTGAGCCTTATGCTCTATATGTTAATAGTATCATAAGAAATTATTTATCATTATCATTAGTACATGTGGTAATGGTTTGAATCTGATAATAGTGTCCTCTCTTTGAATTCTTGTTGAATTACACTTAACGTCATTGTTTATGCTCTTCTAAAGTTTATAAAAGATCTGTTATACAAGTGATCCAACAAATCAGTGAACTGAGAAGGAATATTGTCTCTTCTTGTGGTCATTTTGGTCAAGTGTTGTTGTAATGTAGTTAATTTGTGTGTGCATGAGTAGTATATGTTTTGATAATCAAGGAGTGGCTTGTACTCGAGTACGTTCTTTGCATAATTGTACACAACTACAATAACCTCACAGGTGTCTGATATGACTAATGTCTAGTGTACGCCTTGAATTCTTGTGCTTATTTTCAACGTCACTGGTCATGCTCTTCTGAAGTTTATAAAAGAGTACGTTACACAACTGATCAACTAACCAGTAACTGAGAAGGAATGTTGTCTCTTCTTGTGGTGATTCTTTGTCTCCCTCAACTCATCCAATGTCATAATTATGCTACTTGCTCTGCTTCATGTTCCAATGACACTCACAATGATACACTCCTTCTGGAGCTGCTTAATGTTACAAAGAGCAATGCTCAGGCTATTGATGGCATCATAAGGACTCTCTTTCTTATGAAGAACACTACTACCTCTAATGCTGGAGCTATCAATGATATACTGCTACTAGTGGAAGACCTTCTGATGA